ACATCCAGCTATTTTTTTGTTGCAGTTTGACTGGGGCCAGGTTTGAACCCACCACCCTTGGCATATGGGGCTGGTGCCCTATTCACTGAGCCAAGGCACCACCCAAGAGAACTTCTTAAGACCAGGAGTTTGAGGTTGCTGTGAGCTGTGATTCCACAGCACTCTACCAAGGGTGACATACTGAGACTCTGTGTCAACAACAAGAAAAACATTGCATCACATCTTATCACGATCCTATTTAAAACACAGGGCTTCATACTCCATGAAACATAAAATCTGTCTCCTTCCCTGGTCCTGTCATTTCTCCAACCCCATCCTGGTCTACTTTCCCCCATCCCTCTGAACACACTCAGCCACAATGGCCATCGTTCAGTTCCTCAGACTTGCCAAGTTTGTGTCCCAGAAGCCCTCTGCACTATCTGTTCATTCCCTTTACCTCTAATACCCTTTCTGCCCACAACCTCTGCATAACTCAGCACCAACCACCACAGAGAGATCCTCCCTGTCACGTCTACAGTAGCTACTGGCTTTTTTTCTTGCACACTGTTCTAGTCTAACTCTCACTATAGCACCCTACATTATCTGATTTTTTCTTATTTGTCTCCCACCCATGAAAGTCAGCTCAGTGTCCATCATATTAACTGCTATGTTTTAGTAGGGCAGTGCCTGGCTCACAGCAGCTGCTCCAGATACTTGAATTAATAAATACATTTTGGGCTTGGCACCCGTAGCACAGTGGTCACAGTGCCGGCCACATGCACCAAGGCTGGAGGGTTCAAACCTGGCCTGGGCTAGCTGAACAACAATGACAATTACAACAAAAAAATAGCTGGACGTTGTGGTGGGTACCTGTAGTCCCAGCTACTTGGGAAGCTGAGGCAAGAGAATTGCTTATGCCCAAGAGTCTGAGGTTGCTATGAGCTGTGATGCCATGGCACTCTACTGAGGGCAACATAGTAAGATTTCGTCTCAAAAAAAAAAAAAAATACATTTCATACTTACTTTAAAATAAACAGAAGACTCTCTTTAGTGGGCTGGGGCCAAAGAGGACAGGAGAGCTCTAGAACACCAGGAAGGTCTGTGGGTCAGCATGCTCACGGATGGTCAGAAAACTGCATGGGCATCCACTCCAAGTCCTAAGAGCTAAGGGCTGGATCTGGTGGTGTTGCCAGAAACCATCTGTCACAGGTGCTTAGGGACAAGCTGAGCAAGCAGGGGCAGAGCCTTGCAGCAGGCATAAGAGGACACACACACAGGTACTTTCCTCACTGGAACACTGGACAGATCGGGGGCTGCACGCCGGGCCTACCTCCTCTACCACCCACCTGTGCCCAAGCCAACAGCTGCTCAAGATCGAAGGGGCAAGCAAAGAAGAGACAGACTGACCCAGAGCGTTCAGGATTGAATCTCACTAACACAGACAAGGACGCCTGCAGTCACTCCTCCCTGATGCCTACCGAATGCCCACTTGATGCCAAGCCCACCAGGCCAGGAGCTGGTCACATGTGAAAAAAGGTGGTATTTGCCTTGGGAACACCCAGAGTCTACTAACGGAGACAGGCAATTACACCAAGATTACTGGTACAGGCACAGAGAGGTCTGTCAGACTTTGACAGCGGAAAACAGGAACAAAGGATGGAACTAAAGCCCAATTCTCCTCTACATTTCCCATAATGTGCTAAAACTTTTAACTAAAAAAAGATTTACTTTTTGGCTCGGTACCCGTAGCACAGTGGTTACAGTGCAGGCTGTGTGCACTGAGGCTGGAGGGTTCAAACCCAGCCTGAGCCAGCTAAATTGGCTGCAACAAAAAATAGCCAGGCATTGTGGTGGGTGCCTATAGTCCCAGCTACTTGGGAGGCTGAGGCAAGAGAATCGCTTAAGCCCAGGAGTTTGAGGTTGCTGTGAGCTGTGATGCCACAGCACGCTACCCAGGGTGACATAGTAAGACTGTCTCAAAAAATTTTTTTTATGTTTGAGAGACAGGGCCTCACTCTGTCATCTGGGTTGGAGGGCAGGGGCATGATCATAGTTCACTGTAAGCTCGAACTCCTGGGTCAAGTGATCCTCCCACCTCAGCCTCTCAAACAGCTAGGAGTATGGGTATACACCACCATGCTTGATTAATCCTCTCTCTCTTACTTTCCATCATCTAGAGAGAAGGTCTCACTTTGTCATCCAGGCTGGAGGGTCGTGGTATAATCACAGTTTATCGTGGCCTTGAACTCCTGGGCTCAAGGGATCCTCCTGCCTCAGACTCCTGAGTAGCTGAGATGACAGGGGCATGCCAGGTAGTTTTTTAATTTTTTGTAAAAACAGGGTGTCAGGCCAGGCATGGTGGCTCACACCTGCAATCCAGCACTCTGAGAGGCCAAGGTGGGTAGATCACCTGAGCTCATGAGTCTGAGACCAGCCTGAGCTAAAGCAAGACCCCACCTCTAAAAACAGCTGGGTGTTGTGGTGGGTGCCTATAATCCCAGCTACTGGGGAGGCTAAGGCAAGAGAATCACTTAAGCCTAGCCAGGAGTCTGAGGTTGCTGTGAGCTAGGATGCCACAGCACTCTACCGAGGGCAATACATGAAACTGTCTCAAAAAAACTCCAATAATTCTAATTCATATAGAGGACAAGCAAATAAATAAATGAATAAATAAATACTTAAATAATTAAAAAAAAAAAAAAAAAGACAGGATCTCACTGTTGCCCAGGCTGGGCTCAAATTGGTGGCCTTAAGTGATCTTCATGGCCTGGCCTCCTACCACCTCCTGGTCCTCAAAGCCTTTTAAAAAGAAATTTATTTTCTTTGACCAAAGGATTTTTTGATTCCAAAGGAGAAACTTTCTAAATTGTCAAGGATTTATATACAAGGAAGTTCAGCACAGTGTTGTATATAATCAGAAACCGTAAGGCAACCTTGCAGTCCAAAGATACCAATACAGAGATTACAAGATAAACAAACTAGGAAGTTGGCTGCTGGGGAGAGGGTGATCAGGGGCTTGGGGACAATGGAGGGAAGACTTTTCATTGTATATATACATATTTTTTCCTACCTTTCCAATGTTGTACCAAGTATAAAAAATTCCCTAAAATGATAAAATTAAAGTTAAAAAAACTAAAAAAAAAAAATGAAAAAGAAAAAACTATATAAGCTTTTTGGGGGGGAAATAATGAAACTAAGTTATCAAAAAAAAAGAATGATAAAATCCTACTTTGATAAAAATAAACAACAATAAGAGGCCAGTGGCACAGTGCCCATAGCTCAATGATTAGGGTGCTGGCCACATACACCAGGGCTGGCGGGTTCGAACCAGGCCTGGGCCAGCTAAACAATGACAACTACAACAAAAAAATAGTTGGGCGCTGTGGTGGGTGCCTGTAATCCCAGCTACTTGGGAGGCTAAGGCAAGACAATTGCTTAAGCCTAAGAGTTAGAGGTTGCTGTGAGCTATGACACCACAGCACTATACCAAAGGACCAAAGGGTGACATAGTGAGAAAATAAATAAGGGGCTGGGCACAGTGGCTCACGCCTGTAATCCCAGCACTTGGGAGGCCAAGGCAGCTGGATGCCTGAGCTCAGAGGTTCAAGACCAGCCTGGGCCAGCACAGACTTTGTCTCTAATAATAGCTGGGCATTGTGGTGGGCACCTTTAGTCCCAGCTACTAGGGAGGCTGAGGCAAGAGAATAGCCTAAGGCCAGGAGTTTGAGTGCTATGACGCCATGGCACTCCACCAAGGGTGACAAGTGAGAGTCTGTCTCAAAAAAAAAAAAAAAAAAAAAAAAAAAAATATGTACACAATAATAGGCCGAGATGTATTTGTGTAGAAAATAATGCACAAGGACACACACCAAATATTAACAGTGGCTATCTTTGGTTAATAGAATTTGGTGATTTTATTTATTTATTCATTTTAAGACAGAGTCTCACTTTGTCGCCCTCAGTAGAGTGCTGTGGCATTATAGCCCATGGCAACCTCCAGCTCTTGGGCTAGGGTGATTCTCTTGCCTCAGCCTCCTGAGTTGCTGGGACTACAGGGACCCTCCACAATGCTCCACTATTTCTGTTACAGTTGCCACTGTTTTAGCTGATTGGGGCCAGGTTCGAACCCATCACCCTTGGTATATCGGGCCGGCCCTAACCACTGAGCCACAGGTGCTACCCTTTATTTATTTTTGAGATGTCTACTGCTCTGGGTAGAGTGGTTTGAGTGATTCTCTTATCTCAGCCTCCTGAGTAGGGGCGACTACAGGCACCTGCCACCACACCTAGCCAGTTTTTCTATTTTTTTTTTTTTTGCTTTCAACTTCTGCTAGCTTTCACTTTATCTTAGTTTGAAGTTTTTTGGGTTTTTTTTTAACTTCTTCCTCCTGTAGTGTTCTCTTGTCCCCCATGTAGCTGGGATCACAAGGTCCGGGCTGTTTTTTTGTTGTTGTTGTTGTAGAGACGGGGTCTCACTCTGGCTCACTCTGCCTCATGCTGGTCTTCCGCTGATCTCCAACTCAGCTGAGCTCAGGTGATCCACTCACCTTAGCCTCCCACGGCACTGGGACAACAGGCATGAGCCACCACGCCTGGCCAAGTTTTTCTATTTTTAGTTAGTGGAGATGGGCTCTCGCTCTTGCTCAGGCTGATCTCAAACTCCTGAGCTCATGGGATCCTCCTGCCTTGGCCTCCCGGAGTGCTAGGGTTATAGGTACGAGACAGCATGCCTGGTCGTGAGTGACTTCATTAATATGCTTTTTGATTCTCTGAATTGGAAAATGTATCCATAATAATATCAAATAGGCCTCCAAAAAATTAAAGGAAAAAATAACATACCTTTTTTTGTTTTGTTTTTTGATAACATTACCTTTTAAAAATACATATGAAACCTAGAGAAACAGGGAAACTAAATCCTGTGAGGGGCTGTGCTATGCTCTGCACCCCTCACACACTGTGTGGGGGTCATAAATCCTCACCAGTGGGCTCTGGACTCCTTGCCTCTGCTCTTAAGCACTAACCTTCAGGAGCTTGAAGCGAGAGGCTGGAACGATGAAGTGTCTATTCTGCTTCTTCTTGCAAATGCTGCAGCTATAGAAAGAGAGCAAATTCCAGGTTGTGAGCAGGCCTCTGCATCCTTGGTGTGCCTGAGCAGCCTGGCCCAGTATGATCTAAGAGTCAGCTGGCCCCAGAGATGAAGCCCCTTTTCAGCACCATCCAAAAAAGGGGGAATCTCAAGCCAATAGCCTGGCCACCCAGGGCCTCTACTCTACATATGCAGCAGAATCCATGGGTCCCAAAGCCAGCAGTTGAGGCCATGCACCACTCAGAAAACCAGGACCCACGGAAGCACATTTCTGCTCCCTAACCCCAGTTTCTTATAGTGAAGAGAAACAAGGGACTTCAGAGACACACAGAAAACAAATTTCAGGCTCGATGCCTGTAGCTCAGAGGGTAGGGCATCAGCCACATATATCGAAGCAGACAGATTCAAACCCAGCCCTGGCCTGCCAAACAACGATGACAACTGCAACAAAAAAAGAAAAAAAAAAAATAGCCTGGCATTGAAGAATTGCTTAAGCCCAAGAGTTTCAGAGACTCTGTTTTCTTTTTTTTTGAGACAAATTTCAGACACTGGTACAATCTCATGCCTCTCAGATAACCACATCAAAAATGGACTTGGGGCTCAGCACCTGTATCTCAGTGGTTAGGGCACCAGCCACATACACTGGGACTGGCGGGTTCAAACCCTGCCCAGACCTACTAAACAACAACTACAATAACAAAAGGACTAGGATGCTTAGGTTCCTTCTTCCTCCATCTTCACGTCACAGAAAGCCTATCTCCAACTATGACAGGTCCCCAGAATCACCATTTCTGAAATTAAAGTTTCCTCTTTTCAGGCTATCTTTTTAAAAAATTCTAAGGTATGGCTGGGCATGGTGGCTCTTGCCTGTAATCCCAGCACTCTGGGAGGCTGAGGCGGGCAAATCGCTTGAGCTCACAGGTTCCAGACCAGCCTAAACTAGAGTGAGACCGTGTCTCTAAAAATAGCCAGGGTTATGGCAGGCACCTGTAATCCCACCTGCTCAGGAGGCTGAGGCAAGACGATCACTTGAGCCCAAGAGTTGAGGTTGCTATGACCTATGACGTCACAGCACTCTACCAGGATGACAGAGTAAGACTGTGTCTCAAAAAATAAATAAATAAATAAATAAATAATCTAATTTAGTATGAATCTTCTAACAAGTTATCCCACAATGTTGACTCTATTGTTAGCAGTCTGGTCATCTTTCCATTTGAGTAACTCCAAGGTATTTTTTTTATTTACTATTCGTATATAACTCAGGGGGCAAAAGGCCTGGGTATTGCTGAATTAACCACATGCCAACTACTGGTCCAGAAGTCAGAGCCTGTTGTCCTTGCTCTATTATAATGCTGTGGACAGTGCTCAGAAGCAAGCTCGCCACAGTCCTCGGTGGCACCATCTGCCTCCTCCAAAGAAAAGAGTGAGAGGGCTAAGCGGGGGGAGGCTGTAGGTGAACACACCCTCCACCTCTCCCCAATTCTGGAATCCTACAAAAATTCTATCCAAGGCTTTTCTTTTCTTTTTTTTTGAGACAGAACCTCAAGCTATCACCCTAGATAGAGTGCTGTGCCATCACAGCTCACAGCAACCTCCAACTCCTGGGCTCAAGTGATTCTCCTGCCTCTGCCTCTCAAGTAGCTGGGACTATAGGCACCCGCCACAGTGCCTGGCTACTTTTCGGTTGTAGTTGTCACTGTTGTTTGTCAGGCCCAGGCTGGATTTGAACCGGCCTGCTCAGGTGTATATGGCCAGCGCCTTAGCCAATTGAGCCACAGGCACTGAGCCTGCCCAGCTAGAGGTGCCTGACAAACCTGTAGCTCACCACCCCCACCTTAACAGCAGTGTCAGCCTGAGGGGTGACTGTCAGCCACAAGCCATGAGGAGCCTGCTCTGTGTCACTTGGGCCTATGCTGTAGAAGCTTTTTGCCCAGTCCTCCAAAAGGAGAAAAAAAAAAAGAGAACAATGAACCTTTATGTATCCATCACCTGACTTCAACAGTTATCAGCTCATAACTAGTGTTGTTTCATCTATATCCCAATGCCCCAGATTATTTTGAAGCACTGCACTGTAACTCTTAAAGTTATTTTAAGCCAATTGAGGAAGAGAAAAATACTTACTTGCAGTCAAAAATGTGCAGGTCTGCTGAGGCCCAAACTTCAAAGCGAACCGCCCCGCAGTGGCAGCCTCCTGTGTGCTTCACCAGGCCCTGGTATTCACTAAATGAAACAAAAATAAAAAAGATAAGAACTTCTGAATAGTCAGGCTGCTGCTTTCTCTTTTGTTGTTGAAAAAAGCAGCAGATAGGACAAAAATCTTTCCTAGGTAAACCACCAAAAAGCATTTCTGCTTTTAAGGAGTCACTATCAATAGAATAAAGGAATGGCTTTGTGGCCAGGTGGTGGCTCATGCTTATAATCCCAGCACTTGGGAGGCTGAGGTGGGTGGACTGCCTGAGCTCACAGGTCTGAGCAAAAGTGAGACCCCATCTCTAAAAAATAGTTGGGCGTTATGGTGGGCACCTGTAGTCCCAACTATTTGGGAGGCTACGGCAAGAGGCTCACTTGAGCCCAAGAGTTTGAGGTTTCTGTGAGCTATGACCAAGTGCTCTGTCTCACAAAAAAAAAAAAAAAATAAATAAATATATATATATATAAATTTGTGCCTTCTTTATCCATGAGCAATCTTTCTCCCCATTTCTTTCTTTCTTTCTTCTTTTTTTTTGAGACAGAATCTCACTATGTATGCCTGGGTAGAGTGTCATGGCATCACAGCTCACAACAACCTCAAACTCTGGGGCTTGGCTTGGCGCCTGTGGCTCAAGCGGCTAAGGCGCCAGCCACATACACCTAATGTGGCAGGTTCGAATCCAGCCCGGACCTGCCAAACAACAATAATGGCTGCAACCAAAAAATAGCTGGGCGTTGTGGCGGGCGCCTGTAGTCCCAGCTACTTGGGAGGCTGAGGCAGGAGACTCGCTTAAGCCCAGCACTTGGAGATTGCTGTGAGCTGTGAAGCCATAGCACTCTACCCAGGGTGACAGCTTGAGGCTGTCTTTAAAAAAAAAAAAAAGTCTTAAAAAAAACAAACAAACAAACTCTGGGGCTTAAGCAATTCTCTTGCCTCAGCCTCCTGAGTAGCTGGGACTACAGGCGCCCAACACAACACTCAACTATTTTTTTTGTTGCAGTTAGGCAGGGGCCAGCTTTGAACTCGCCACCCTCGGTATTTGGGGCCGGCGCCCTACCCACTGAACCACTGGCACCGCCCTCATGTTTGTTTTGAAAGTTTTTTTTTCTGGACATACTGTATAAATAATGCTAATTGTAAAAAAAATCCAAGTATTATATTTGTTTGGTAGTGTTTAAAGTAGAAGTCTCCTGATAATCTACACAGGAGGGCCCCACAGTTTAACTATTTGCTATGTATTCCATATTCCTCCAAACTTTTTCTCTGTACAATAACATCTTAGCAAAAATGGTACAGTGTTATACATACTTTTGCATATAATTTAGCAGACATAAAAAAATTTTAAGTACATATTCTTGTTCACCTAATGGGTGGAAAACATTTCATCTTTTTAGCTAACATTTTAAGATTTTTCTAGACCATTTATCAGTTTTAATGTAAAAATTTACCTCAAATTTGAGTTTTACATTCGAAAGGATCTTTATATCCTCTACCATCTAGCAGTACCTGGGACACCATAGGTGCTCAAAAACGTTTGATAGATGTATACTTTTTTAAATGTTCAGTTTCTAGTTCAAGGTGGTCAGTCAAAAAGTGAAGCCCACAGAAAACCAAATATCGATAGCCATTTCTAGGAAGACTCATCCTGACGAAGAGAATTTCTTCTGGAACGAGGACAAAAGAACTTTTTTTGTGCGTTCAAGAAAAGGAATTCTCAGGTTGTTATGCAATTGCTAGGTTATTCTTGTCTTGGTTTTTTCCTAGTGTTTTGACTGTTCTTTTTAATTTATAAAAAAAATTACATTAAGATATATTATTAGGGTGTTAAAATATGTCTCTGTAGCACAACTGGTTCTCGGGGCAGGGATCTGGATCACATTTGGAGAACAGAAGGCAGCTATTGCCAACAGGTCTCTTCCAAATCACGGACACTCTGGACTCTGGCCATCTGGAGTCTGGAGGGAGCCCCGGGGAGCATCAGTCCTTGGAGAGCTCGCCCGAGGAGCATCTCTCCGCTCTCCTCCCGGGGACCGCTAGCCCGGCCCCGCCTGCTCCCTGGCAGCGTCTGGAACAATAAGGGATGTGGTTCCCCAGCTAGGGCCCAAATGCTCACGTTCCTCTCCAGCCCTCCACCTTTCCCTGCCACCCGCCCCTCCAAAACTTTAAGTGTGCGGACACAAAAAGGGTTCCGGCATGAGGAAGGTGATGGGATTTCTCCTTTCACTGGGAAAGGACCCCGCACCCTTCGCGCGCCGGGACAGCGTTCCCGAGTAGAAAGCCCCTTTGTCCAGGACAGCCGCGCGCGCCCGCCGCCCGCTCCGGATGCAGCCCCCTTTCAGTCCCGGGCCGCGCTGCCCTACCAGCACCGCCCCGCGCCCTTAGAATTAGGGCCCGACAGGGGGAAAGCATCGGCGACTTTAGGTGGGAGGACACAGGACTAAACGGTGGCCAAGGCCCGCACGCAGGCGGAGACGCGCGGGCGGGTGGCGCGCCCGACTCCGCGCCGAGGGGCGTCCGCAGGGCGCCCGCTCCCGCGCGCCCAGGCCCGGCCGCACTCACAAGGTGTCCAGCAGGAGCTTGGCGGCGCCCTCGGAGGTCAGCTTCTGCCGCTTCTGGAACAGCTCCCAGCGCTCCCGTTGCTCGCCTAGGTCCAGCGTGGGCACAGAGGACGTCGGGGTCGCCGGAGTCGGCGGCGGAGGCGGCGGCGGAGGGAGCAGCGCCAGCTCCGGAGGTGGCTTCCCGGGGGCCACCTCTTGGGCCCGCGGCGACGAGTTCCTCAGCGGCCGTTTGGCCGACGGCGGATTTGCCGCCGCCTGGCCCCCG